AGACCTCTATTATATTCCCCCTTAGTCAGCTCTTTTTCAAGCTGAAAAGTCCCAGTCTTTTTTAATCTCTCCTCATATGGAAACTCTCATGGAAAATTTCTCTTATAAGGTGTCAGTGCTGCTCCATCCACTGGTGTGAAGCCCAATGAACTCCCAAGCCAGGCACCAGCTCCTCAGTGTGAATAGCACATAAAATGGATCTCTGGATGTGAAAGCAAACTTGCAGTTTTTATTCAATTGCATTTTCTTGAACACTTATTTTTCACTATTCATCCAACTCTAGTTCTATACTACTTTGCCAGTGGATTTTCAGAATACTCCCTCTTTGATAGTTACTGATTCTGTTTTATTTCATTTAAAAACATTTCTGTGGTATCTTTCAAACTGCTTCACTTCTGTTTGTAATGCCCTGTGTAGCGATTAGAATTTTTAATATCATTTGGCAGTCAATTTCCCATTAAGGATTTTTAAGAATTTCAACAAAAATCCATCAGACTAGTCACATGCTTCAAGTTAGGCATGTGCTTAAGCACCTAGCTGAAATTGATCTTAAATCTTTTGTGTAGGCATTACTGCTAAACTTGCCTATCTGAAAGACAGTCTCTTTCCCAGCGTCTTACTGCCATAGCTCCAGTAGGAAGAGGTGTTCAAGCTGGATCACCCTCATTATAAAAGAAGAGCAGGGCATTCTCAGTGAGGGCCCCAGGACTCTGAAACTTGCTCCCTTCCTTGGTCTGAAATAGCCTGTACTCAATAACATGGGCATGCTGCAAATGCCATTTGTTTGATAGGGTTTTGGGGAAGGAGTAGGTTCTTGTGTACGCCTGGGGCTCAGAGTCTTTTCTGGAGCTTTTCCATTTTGGTTTGTTGGCTTGCTGAGGTTAATGATTATCTCCATTTGTATATTAGACTTACACTAACCATGCAATAGCATAAATATGAACTATTTTCAGGATATGCAGAGCTTTTATATGGGCTTTTTTGTAATGTTAACGCTAAAGAAAATGAATGTATAAGCAAAACAGATGTTAAAAACAAAATAGCAAAACTATTATTAAAAATGATGTATTGCCCTATAAATAAAAAGGCCAAATTCTAATACTCTTACTTACACTATACTTTGCTCTGCAAACAGGGTCACACTGAAGTCATTGGGACTATTTGTGGTGTAGGTGTTATTCAACACAAGTGAGAGTATAAGAACATGACCTACAGTACTTTACAAATGGACAAAGACATTCCTAATGCTAAAGAGTTTACAATGGAAGAAAATAATAAGAAAAATAGCTGTTCTTAAAGCTGACCGAAATATGAGGGAAAATATTCAGTTTACTGCAGATTCTTTTTTTTTCCCTTCAAACCTTTTGTTTGATTAATAGACAAGGTGGGTGAGGTAACATCTTTTATTGGACCAACTTCTGTTGGTGAGAGAGACAAGCTTTAGAGCTTACGCAGAGCTCTTCCGCAGACCTGGGAAAGGTACTGTGAGTGTCACAGCTAAATACGAGGTGGAACAGATTGATTATCATAAGGAGTTAACATGTTGCAAGGGACCATTCGGGGTGAAGTGGGCAGTTAACACTTCTGCAGTCATAGGAGAAATGTGGGTTAGTGGGTTCTAGGTATTTGTAATGAGCCATAAATCCAGTGTCTTTATTGAGTTCATGCTTTTTGGTGTCTAACACAATTATGAATTTATGCTCCCAGGGTCATCTTTTGAAGGAGTTGTGCAGGTTTCCTTTGAAGATGAGGACTGAGAGGTCAGAGCTGGCATGCTCGTTTTGTGAAAAGTATTTGCCCACAAGCAATATGATGTTTTTCTCTTTTATCATTTTTCTGTGAGAGTTCACTCAAGAGTGTAGTGATTGTCTCGTTTCACCCACACAGTTCTTATTAGGCCATTTAGTGCACTAGATGAGGTACATCACCTGTGATCAGTATGTGTAGAACCTATGGATCTTGAAAGGTGTATTGTGATCAATCATCGTAATGGTGGTGATATGTCTGCAGGTTTTATGTCTGTTTTTTTGGCAAGGTCTAGTGCCCCTTTGAGTTGGTGTGTCCTGGTCTGGGGGGAGCTTTCTTGATTATTAACATATATGTATGTTCCATACAAGGATTAAAAATATCTTCTTCATAACATGTAATTTGTTACCTTTTAAAGCACGTATTTGTGTTTGGTCAAGCTCTTAACATTACCAGTTTATTTTGTTAAAATTCCAAAAGTTGTAACCATATATTATAAAATCTATTTGATCCTGATTTAAGATTCTGTTTATATTACTGAGTGTTTTCCAGTTCCCTGGATTTGACAAGTTAGAGTACACATTCAACAGTGTTATTTACACATTGCTTCCAGTGCAAAAAAGACTCTGGCTAAAAAGCGTGTTCTTCCTCAGTTTGGGTGTGATTTAATAGAAATAACCATATTCATTTCTGGTCAGAATCTTAAATCACTAAATTCATCTTTATTTTCAGTCATCTAAAAAGCCTATTGGTATGTTAGAATTTATTTTAAAACTGAATTGCAAGCATGCTTCTAGTTCTTATTTTATGTTTTGATGGCGTGAATAATTAAATCAAACCATAAATATTCTAAGCACCACAGGGAGCTGTAATATCTGAGGATAAGTCTGAAATGCATTACTACTGTCATTAATGATGTGCTAGATGTGTGGCTGGAAGAGGAATTTTCAAGACAGCTGTAACAAGTGCAATAATTGATTTAGCTACAGCTTACAGCTGTCTTTCAGACACAACATTTGTGTACTGTATCTGGAAAACTAAAATTTGGCACACAGATGTGGTTAGAAGAATGCTACAGAATATCTTGAGTCAAGGCAGCACTGAGAACCTTTAGTATAGTAAGGGTCCCGGCAACTAGTCTGGAATTTCAAGGTCAGTGTATTTAAGTGGCAGTATAAGCAGCCATTCCATATTCTGCAAATATGAATCCCTCAAGAGCCTTTCTAATTTCAAGGAGCCCTTTCCTTTCTGTGTAGTTGTTATACAGCTGAGTGCAGCAACTAGGGCACAGGGCCTGTATTATAGTGACAGCTATGATTATGGTTGAATTCCAGCTTCCATTCTAAACTCCCCTTTTAAACTGCTCATAACTTTCTCTCACATATCTCTTTTGGGCTGAAATTATCAGTGCTCTCTGCCCCCAGATATTTTTGGGAAAGTTTCAGAAAAATACTTCTAGCCATTTTTGAGTCCTTCATGCCAGGGGAAGTCAATGAGGCATTTGGCTCCAGAGCAGCGGAGAGTCAGGTAACTGGAGGAGCTAGGAAAAGGGTGTAGTGAAGGCAATGAGTATGGCAGGGGTTGAGATGTGCATAAAATGAGAGAAGCAATGGGGAATACAGGAACTGATATCCCCAGTTCCCACAATTCACACTGTAGTGACATCTGTTACCGGACCATTGTGTGTGTCTTGCCAGGTGTGCAGGCTGGACCTCCAGTCTCTCGCCTGCTCCAGCTGTGCTGGAAGTTCTTAGGAAGGAAGTAGAGAGAACAGTGCATGTGCAGCAAAGGAGCTTCTTGTCTATCCCCCCTTCTCTCTTGTGCCTGAGGATGAGACCAGGAGACATTCTGGCTCATGCTGCTTCACAGTGTGTGAGAAAACGGAGGCAAGTGTGACATTAAAGAGAAATGTGTGGCACTTGGGAGGCCTGTGATTATAATTTGTATTGCAGTAGAGCGGAGACCAGTGCCCCATGACAGATACTGTACAAACACAGACTAGACAGTCCCTGCCCCCAAAGAACTTAGTTTGGCACTTAATATTCTTTAGTGAGGGCTTGCAACATCCTTATGGGGTAGACAAAATAAAGTGCGGAGAGGATAAGTGACTTGTCCAAGATCACACAGCAAAGCAGCGGCACTGTGTTCAGAGGGGTTCATCCCTCTTCCCTCCCTCTTCTCCCACGTGCACACAGTGCTTAGCTCTCAGGACTGGGAAGCACCAAAGCAAGAGGCTGTGACCTCAAATCCACAGTCCTTTGGAAACGCCATGTCTCCTGCATTGGAACGGAATGATGTGCAGTCTGGGGAAAAGGAGGAGAGGAGGCTAAGGATGGGACTGGGTGATGAGTGGGAGGGGGTGTAGGCAGCAGAAGTGGGGGAGAGGGACTGGGAGCAAGCTGCTATGTCACTTATTTGTCCAGTGTCCCTCACTGTGTCTCTCTTGAGCAGTACTCAACACATGTATTAAGTAAAGTTCTGGTAAACAGAAGACCTGGGTTCTATTATTTTGCTACATTAAGCTAGGTTTTTGCATAGAATAAATGTAACCAACAGTGCCAAAGGAGGATAAAAAGCACAGAGGCAGAAGCCTGGATTTTTTGGTGGACTATTACTCAACTGAAATAAGTTTAAAACAAACCTCAGACCTTGCATTTTCTCCTTTGCATGCTCAATTCTCTCTTCAGATTACTGTTTGACCGTCAGGCAGCAGTATTGTAAACCGTATCACCTATTCCAAAATATAATCCTGATCATCATTTAGGAATTATCAAGTTTTATTCTAATCTTTTATAGTGTGATGGTTCTATGTCTAATTGTGTGCTGGTCAGGTGCATGGGGTATTGCAGATTCTCTAATGTGTGACATCAGATTCCCATTACTGTCAGTGAAAGTTAGTAATCCAGATCCTCTGAGATGCTGATTTAAGGCAGATGAGGCTTTAGCAGAGAACACATTTGACTGTTTTATTTATTTGAAAATGTATTTGCGGAGAACTTTTTTTAAACGCCCTTCGTTTGCAGAGCCTTCCGAATTTTTTGAATCACCCTTTACAGAGACAAATGTTCCAGCATAAATCACTGAGGCGGGAAGTTTATGAATCTTCATGTGAAATGTAATTAAATATATTGAATTCATCAAGAAGAGCATAAGCCTGAGGCTTTCTCTCGGGCTTTTATTAAAGATAAGTAAGTAGGTCATTGACTATTTTTATCTACCTCATTCATTTCTTTAAAAATTACTTTCTCTTCCAGTACCACGACAGCCTGGAGTGAGCAATAATCTGTTTGAAATATTTGAAATTGAAAAAGGGATTAGTGCAGATGAGGATGAAGCAAATGACGATCCAGGTACTTATCAAGTTTACTATTCAGGATACAGTTATGCTGGTTTCATACTATGTTTGTTTTAACTGTGTCCCTTCAACTAATTGGTCTCATTCTTCCTTTACAAATGTGGGTTTTATTAACACAGGTTTGTGCTCTAAAGAATATATTAAGTGATACTGTTATTTACCTAGTACTTGTTAATATTGCTGTAGCTTCTTTTTGTATGGCTTGTAAATCCAGTCAGAAAGTTGGTGAGTGGTCCACCAGCCCTAAGGCTCAAGGACTGTTCTTATGTGTCTTTCTGGTCTGTTCTTTGCAGGTATCCTGGTGCACAGCTGTAACTTCGATAGTGGTCTGTGTGGATGGATCAAAGATAAAGATGATGATTTGCACTGGGAACCACTTAGAGATCCATCAGGTACAATAACTTTGTCCAGTCACACCTGTTTAATTTAAGAACCCAAGCCTGCTCCCATTATATTTAATCTGAGCAGGAGGAGATTCTCAACACTTTGCTAATTGACAGTAGCTTAAGAAATGGCCTACAACTCAATGGTTTTAGGACCTGCTTCCATTAAATGTAGTGCGGGTTTTGCTACTTCAACGTTGATGACAAAATTTAATGGAACTACACCACTGTACCTCAACTGGGGAACTGGCTCTTTGTTAGCCTATATCTTCTAGATAGGAATGCCTATGAAGGAACACTGTTTTTCCTATTCAATTAAGGAAGATAAGAATAGAACTTGGAATGTGGCCCAATTTATTTATTCCTATTTGAAGTAAAATCTATAGTTCAAGGATATGAGGAGATTTTTTAAATTGCCATGCCAACATAATTATTTGTATGGTAATACTAAAATTGTGGGCAAAGCTGGAAATTGTATTTAACAGTAGAGCAAAAATTAAGTTCTGTTTCTACCTTAACATTCCCAAGTCAGAGCGTAGTTTACAGAAATCCAATATGAAATTTTACTAAAACAGTTTTCCTGTGTACATACTTTTGTAATAAGGGAAGGAGGGTAGATTTTTCAAAATTTACAGCGTACATCTCGGGTAGCACAAAGGGACCTTGGAATACTGAGTTGAATGGAACAAAAAAGGGCACTAATGAACCATGCCACAAATCACAGGCTCTTTCTGGATCCAAGCTGGTATTCACTGAGGGCGGTGAACCACTCATACTGATACACCTCAGAGAATCTGCTCTCTCTACAAAAAAAATACACTGAGTTTAGGAAAAAAAACAAGGCTGGACGCAAGTCAGTTTTAGCTGCCAAATCTGCTCCACATAATACTGAGAGCTATATGGTGAAGTTCTGTTTTAAACATACAGTCCTGGCCATGCAGTCCCCTTCAGCCCTCTCACCAAAGGGACGGAGATTAGACACACTTCTTTAGTTCTCCATTAGACCCTATGGGATTACATCATAGAAAGAATGCCTCATGTGACCAGATTGTAGACACTGAAAGGAAATGCATTCCCTGGTTGTAAAATACTGTGAGTTAAATCATAGCCCCAATGTGGGTGGGAGGATGGAGGAAGTCCTTTCCTTCAGCACTGCAATAGAGGCATCCTTATCTGATGGAGTCAGGTCAGGGCCATCATACTTGTACACCAGGGTGGCTGCACTGGGGGCAGTACTGATTAAACCTGTTCAACGGGTGTAGTAAGGAGCATGATCTCCACACACTCTCCTCCCCTCCCCTCCCTCCACCTGTATTGGTATGGTGCCTCTAAGCACCACTCCTTTCTCATGTGACTCAGGCTCAGAAAAGACATAATTTAGCATTACATACAGATAACTTTTAAGATGCTTGTGTCCTGGAACCAAGTGTGGCCTACAATGAGTTTTTGATTAGGTGTACTCACTTATAAAGTGCATGAATTTTGTTTACTCCAGGATTGTTTTGAAAAGCAGTAGTTTCAAAAATATCACTTGGCTAGCTGGCTGGAACTCTTATATATATTTTTTTTCTGTTTTTTACCAGTTACTTACAAATTGTTAAAACCAACCAAACAAAACCCCAATCATTTCACAGATTTATTCTTTGCAGCTGGCCAATTGTTTCTTGGCTTTCAAAGCCCTGATGTTTAGTTGTTTTTTTAAGTGGTTTAAAATGCAGCTTCTGATAAAGGTGCTATGCTATTTCTTTAGGTTTACCTTGTATGTAGAAAACAAGTGAAGGTCTTTACCTATGAAGGTCTATTCTTGTAGGGCTGGTCTACACACACACACTATGAAGTTAATTAAATGTTTTCCTACTGATTTAGATAATCTGTGCAACTCTCTAGAGTGGATGCAGTTCTACTGGTTTAAAGGTGTTTGTACTAGAATAACAAGCACCTTTATCCTGGTATAACTTTGTCCATGCTAGAGGGTCATACTGAACTAACTGAATTTTTTTTTCTATCAATTTAGTTGTACTGTTCCAAAAACGATGTGTAGACAAAGCATAGCCAACTCAGCAATGCATTTAAGCATGTAATTGTCTCATGGAAGTCAATGGAATTCAGGCAGATGCTTAACTTTAAACATATGCTTAAATGCTTTGCTGAAGTGAAGGCCGAGATTATGGACTTTTTTCTTTTAAATTCTATTGTTTGCTTTGTCTTGGCACATTATTTTGTTAAAAATCACATTCATATTTTCTTGCAAAGAGATGATTTTAAAGAAAATCATCATAGCTTTGCTTAGAACAAACATTTATGCAACATTAACGATCAAACTGAACAAGAAATATTCAAATCTAGTTCGACTAAAACTGCGACTAAACTTCAGAGTAAAAGGTTAAACTATTATAATTAAGTAAATTCTGTACATCTACAATATGGAAAAAGTATTTTCAGGCTCACTGACTTCAACAGCTCAGATTTCATGGAACCTTTATAACGTAATTAATACTAAGACCTTTAAAGTGAATTTTGATTTTTGACATTCTGCTGTGATATCAAAACTGTTTGTTTTATGGTTAGAACGTGGAGTTCTCAGTTGGATATTATTGTTTTGTAATTTTTTTTCTGGTCAGCTCAGATTTGCAAAAAATGAGTTGGGTCTCATTCCAACTTCGAAACGCTGCTCTAGCTTTAATGAGTTCAAAGTTTTTTTTTAAAATCCTCTTGGTATGGTTATGGGATTTTTAGAAGACCTAAAGTCTCATTTATCACAGTTTTAGCAGCCTACATAAAAAGGATCACTAGAAGAATTTATTGGGCTTACATGTTTGATTTTGGCTTTTATAAATGTTGCCATGAGTTCCTCTGGTTTTCCTTTATTGCAGTATATTTATATGCAGGTATCTCTCCCTAAAGGGATGGGGATATTAATGGGTTTTTGAATGATGTTCACATGTACAGTAACAATCCAACATAAGACACACTGGAGAGTGCAATGAGACTTAGGTTACTAAATGCCTAAGTCACCTCTGAAAATGGGACTTATTAATACTTGTACATTCTGGACAAATGGGAATTTTCAAAAATTTTACTGAGTGCTTAAATCTTGTCATTTCATAACTGCTATCTAGAATAATAGTTAGAGGCTTAGTTTATTGTTAAAGCTTTTGAGTGAAGTTTCCTATGTAGCAGTGTTATCGAAGAGTCAATGACTTGTAACGGAAATTTAAATCTCCTCTACCACAGCTAATGCAGCACATTTACAACAGTGATTTCTAAGAAATCCTGGCGTTTGAAATCCCCAAGACACAGGAATTTTCAAGATTGATGGCATATTAAGTACGTGTAAGGTACTGACCATGCTTGGAACCATTTAAAAAGAGATGCCTTTTCTTTTGCAGGTGGACAGTATGTGACTATCTCTGAACCCAAAGGCAAAGAGGGAAAAGTAGCACGTCTGGTCTTGCCACTTGGCCAGTTAGCTCATTCAGGGGACTTGTGTCTGTCCTTTAGGCATAAGGTATCTGGACTACATTCTGGTCTACTCCAAGTGTTTTTAAGAAAAAATGGTGCTCATGGACCTGCAGTTTGGGGAAGAAATGGTGGCCAGGGCTGGAGACAAACACAAATAACTTTGCAAGACTCAGGCATCAAAAGTGTAAGTATAGCTGTCTATACAGTTTTCAGTGTTTTAGTATAGGAGGCTGAATAGCCCATGTTTTTTTACTAATTCATGCCTGACAGTGGACATGTTTTTCCTCCGTTGTATGTAAAAATACTAACTAGTTTTCAGTCAGGCAGAGTATTTTATATTGGTAAACAAATATAGGAGGTCACTAGAACTTGTGAACAAGGAGGACAGCGCCTAGAGATGGATTTATAAACACCTGCTCCTTAGTCTTTTAAAAATAGTCTATAGGCTCTCGGAATAAGGCCACACCATAACTCAGCAAACAGCCCCTCTATCACAGAAAAAACAAATATAAAAGAACAAGATGCATTTGTGAGAGAGCTGATATTTTAAAACATCAGCTATGATTTTCAGTACCCCAGTTTTTGGATGCCCATCTTGAGACACCTATAGGCTCTCCAACACATTTTGAAAAATCAGGTCTGTTTAAGGTGCCTCCAGTGGGCATCAAACTATTTGTTGTTTCTGAAAAATTAAGCCAATATATATACACACATACACACACACAGTCTTTTTGCTCTAACTTCCCTCATTAATCCGAAAAGCCTAAAGGGAATGTAAACATTATTTTACAGAATTGATAGTAGATCTTGCCTTTGTATTGACTTTTTTCTACATCAGTAATAAAGCAAAATCCTACATGAATTTACCTAAACTCTAGTTTTGACAGGGTCACTGTGTACATATCCTGTTGGGGTTGGTTTGTTTTTAGGGAGCATGTAGGTTCTCCTATCTAATGAGGGAATCTTGCTGGAATGTTTGATTAATTTTCAGACCATGGACAAAATAACATTTGCTCATGTTAGAACAGTTTAGTCTTCGATTTTTATCGCAGCAGTGCAGGTGATTGTGGCTGGATTAAAATAAATATAAAATGGGCTCAGCTAGAGTTTAGTACCCGTTTGGCTTTAGGGATCATTCTACAGCATATTATTCTGCCATGGTCCTCTCACCTTATATTCTCTTCTTCATCCTACTTTAAATCTGTTGAGTTTCTCCCTCATTCAAACTAGGTGTATTTTTAGTTCTCAGTTTAAAACGCAGATATGCAGCATTATGTTGTAGGAAGTCAAAGTTTAGATTAGCACATTTCCCCAGAAGCTTGGAGCATGTTATATAGGGGATAATATTTCTCGATCCAGCTTACAATACATTCAGTGTTCAAATTGATCAATTTGCAATGTGGATGTGGAAAGGAAAATCTTTTCAAAATACTACAAAAAATACGATGGCTCTTTAGAGCAATGGATAAAGTGATTACTGGGAGGAATGATTTAAATATATCTAAAGAGAAGTTCACCACTCTTGGAGACAGAGTCCTCCCTGAAAGCTGAACTCTGCTTCCATCAGCAGAGTAAGCACACTTCTAGAGATCACTGAACGTGTTTTATCCATTACAAATACCAACATCCAGGGATATGTCTCTAAGTTCCCTGAGGCCCTTCAGAACAGGTAGCCATTCTTGTCTTTTTTTTAAGTTTACATCTGACTGTGTCTTATTTCCTTCCCCAGGTTATTTTCAAAGGTGAAAAAGGGAAAGGCAGAACCGGGGACATTGGATTAGATGATGTGAGCTTGAGGAAAGGCCGCTGCTCTGAAGAACATTAGCAACACCCACTAGACTGGCAAAGAATATATACAATTTCTCTTTCCCTTCAATCCTATTCCTATCAAGTTAAAAGAAAACGGTGGGCCAAAGTGGAAAATATGGACAGTGATCACCTCGTTAGCCCACTTTTGTGCAAATCCTAGTGAAACTCTACTTAAAATAATGCCAATTGTCTGTAAGGATGCAAAGTTCAAGCCAATATTGGGTGTTTTTAGTATTATTCCTTGTCCACATACCTTTATCACACACAAAGTACCTTGTACCATGCCTGAAAGATGCTCATATTAAATGGGCAGGGAGGGAGTGGGAGAGCCAACTGTGGCTAAATGTCATCAGAAGAGATCTCCAGCTCACAGCAGTAGTATTAACTGTTGTTCTGTGTTTTGCTATAGTGCTACCATTACACTGATGATAAGGATATGCTGTGCGATTTGTCTGACTTCATAATTTGAAGTTAACTGAGGCCTGGACCTGAACTTTGGCTATTTTACTGCCATTGACTTTTAAAGAAGGGTGTGTTACATATCAAATAGCATTTATTCTGATGTATCTATATTAACAAAAGGCAGTTATGTAGAGTAGGTGCTGCATCCCTTAATATTGCTAGTACTGTGTTGTGTAAATGTGTGTGGTTACTAATGTATTTGTTTCTTATATTTACAGATTCCAGTTGCAAGGTAAATGGCAGCTGTGCTTTCAAGCTAAAATACAGTATGTGAGCTCAGTGTGTTTTTTGACCCTCTGCTGGTGACCACTGATAAATCAGCAGTGTCCTGACATTTTCTATCTTTTGGCCCTAAATACTAGTGTGATATTTTTCATGAGGTTATGACTGAAAACAAAGGGCCAGATCCTCAGCTGGTGTACACTGGTGTGTAACTCAATGGGTTGCCAAAGGCCTAAGTTAGTTTACACTAGCTGATTAGCAAGATGCTGCCTACTATCAACTCCCATTGATCTCTCTGGGAGTGTAGGATGCTGAGCACTGCCAAGGAGGTGCTTTTGCAATTGACAATCAATAGGATGGGCCACAGTCTGTGCTGATAGTAATTGTTACAACCCATCTAAGCAGCACAAGTGAGTCAGTTCTAATGCATTGAAATATAACTGACCATTGAATCTTGCACCTGTACGAGGTCCTTGCCCGACTGCTCAGAAAACGACAACATTTAGAGCTAAAATGTTCGTTCTAGAGGGAATTAGTATTTGCCAGAATATTGGGCTTTTTCTTTTAGTCATCCATTTTGGATGTGATAAATGTACAGCTCCATGGAGAAATATTGAATTTCTCCACTTGGCTTGTCTAGCCTTTTTTAAATGAAAAAGCTTTACTATCAGCATTGAGATCAGTTTTAAATTTGACAAACTTATCTTTATATTTAAGAAAGTTAGAAGCAAACTTAATAGATTGTTGTTCTAGGGAGACAACCTTAAAATTTCAAAAAGGGGAAGAAGACAAAAGGCCTTATGACCTTTTAAAATAATTAAATGTAAATTACTAATGTAAGCGCAATGTATAATTATATATGATCTTATAAAAGTTATTTCTGGTTTCAACAAAAACCTGTGTCTAGTCTTGCACACTCTGTCCATACGGATGACATTGCAAGATGTCAAAGGCCTTATTTCAAACTCTCGCTAAGACGAGATATGTCCCAATAAATCTACCATGGTTTTGGATTTAGTAGCTCATCCTAAAAGGATTAAAATATACTTTGTACTAAGATACGTTTTAACTGTTTTACCAAATCATATTACAGCCCTTCGAGGTCCTGGTAAAATGGCTAGAATAGGGATCTATTCCATCCACAGAAGAAAGACCCACTCAGGTTTTAATCATTCTGCAATTAGGACTGGGCATATGGAAGTTTTGTTAGTGCAGATGGTATATTACAGGTCAGTGCATTATTTCTGCCCATTCAACATGCATATGTACAGGCATGTACCAATAGAAGTTGGGATCTCTGGATTTTGATTAATTTCGGAAGTAGTGAATGGACCTTTCATCAGTATTGCAGTATACAACAATATTATGCCACTGTCTATGCTTGAATGAGTTAAACAAATCCTTACATTTAAATAAGTGAACATTACAGCAAGAGGCAAAATTAATACTATAAACAGCTACATTTTCACTTTGTTGGTGTACAGCATGTAATGGCTCACCTTCCAAACAGCCCCTCGATAGTTCATCACTCACCTCTAGTGATTACTCTGTCTGATTTGATTGATGGAGTCGATTGAATTGTCACCAGCCCCCTGCAAAAGGTTTAAAAAAAAAAAGTATTTAAGGATTTAAGACTGTGAGCTTCTTCGGTCCACTTCAATTTTGGTAGAGGAGACAACATTTAACTTTGTTGGGTCATCTTTTCCCCTTTTTGCATGATTCTCAGTCCTCCTGCCAAAGTTCCTGATCTTGCAATGAGCTCTATGCAAGCTCACACCCTGAATCCATGCAGAGAGTCACCAATGTGAGAGAGAGTTAGCAAGGACAGAAGGGTCTGCCCACATGGAGTTCATTAATTGGGGATATAACTAGCAGAGACTACCATTTTCCATACATTCCAGGCACAATTTCAGGTGTGCAGATGACTATGTGAGATCTGAACAGAACCTTAAGACCTTGTTTATAGCTACCCATTTCCTTTATTGTTCAACAACTGCATAGCTGGTTCTAAAGAAAATCCTCCTGAAAAATCCATTCGAAGTGTCAACAAGAAGATATTGTGCTAAACTCTAATGGAAACAGTTATCAAACGTACTGTATATCATTTTAACTGGCTTATAATTTAAGTTTTTGAAGAAATGTTAACTTTCCTCCCAAACTGACTGAAAATAAAGAGTATCTTATAGGCACTGAGTACAACTGAAGTGATAGCTCCCTGGTTTTGTTTTTAATTTCCACTCGCATCAAAATGCAATAAGTGGGATTTTCAAAAAACTTTGAGTTGGCCTAAGTCTGTTCCCAGTGCAGAGTTTGAAGCTATTGGTAAAGCTTTAATAGGAGGGAAGGTGGGCCAGCGCTGATTGCCACACTTCAAACAATTTGGATGGGATTTTTGAAAGCAAAGCCTCCCTGGGGTTTTCATAGTCAGGTTCCTTAAGAGATGAGTCTAGACAAAGGGTCTGAAGATTGTGATAACAAACCATGGCATGCTGGACAGCTGATTGACTCAATTTAGCTCTAAGACAAAACCTTACAGCCACACACAGAAGAGGGCTTTCACCAGCAGAATCTACCCCAGATTCCGTGTTCTCTCAAAGGGAGAAAACACAACAGTAGTTTTTCCATCCACCTTTGCATCTTATCACGCAAACATCAACTCCTCCAGTAGCTATCTGCCACTTGTTCCCCCTAACAACAATGCTTTTGTATGATAATGGTCTTGGCCCCATCCAAACCCCACTGAAGTCAATGAAAAGACTCCTATTGGCTTCAAGCCACTAGCTGATAGAGTAAACTGTTTTCGAGTTGACACTATGTTTAAAGAGTTGTTAAGTACTTGCAACTTCCAATCAATGCCTCTACAAATCAGGACAACAGGAATCCTATAATTCTTACAAATTAATTTTTAACAATTTTACATCAGGTATGAATCATAACTTACATGGGGCATCAGACTAAATACTTTAGGCTGTATGGTGCCAAGCTGATGAAGTTGACCTTGGAGCTTCTAAAGTAACTAGGATGTAACAGACTTTCATTTTGGAAATGTTTGCCATTGATTAATTTCATCACTTAATGTCCCTACACTTGAACACAAACTGTTCCAAATCTTCCTTGTGTGTTTCTCAGATGTCTGAGGGGAATTTTAGTTAACCGAGAGCCACATGGCTTTCACCAAAACCATATGTAGCAGAAATCTCCATTTATTATTTCTGTAGGCAAGAAAACCAGACACCAGGTTACTATAAAACTCCCTTGCTAATTAAATCACATTTGCCATTACCCATTGTTGTACGCCTGTGTACTGTAATCACAAGGCTTTTCACTGCAGTCTTTCCAGACCATAAACAGTCAAAATCCACCGAGGTTTGGGTTTCTTTAAATTTGCACATGGGTAGACTGAAAAGTTGCAAGAGGAAAACAAACATGTTAGAAGTCTGCATGACAAACTAAAATGGCTATGGATCATGCAATTCAGTCCGGGTCAAGGTTTGGAATAAATTCTGGGTGTACCATGTATAGACCATACCCCAGAACAGCTGCTGTTACTGCAAGGAGGTGCAGCTTTACAAAGTGCATAAGAACTCTCTCTCACTGTGTGTAACACTGCTTCATGCTGTTGTAGTCCTCTGAATATATATTTCATGGAGTCTGTGGGGAGATAACGCCATTGCACTGTTACTATCACCGTTACAGTCTAACTGCACCTCTACCCCCTTCTCGGGCCTCAGGTCAGCATCTGGGATGGAATCATGCTATTTTCCGACTGGGCTGTAGCTCCCTCTATTGCAGCCGTGATTGCCTCAGTAAATCTAACTTGTGTTCAATACCTGCAATTCTCTTCCCTCTGGGAGCAAAGACAGTGTGTATCCAGTAACCAAATAGCCCCAAAGAAGAGCTCTGTGTAGCTCAAAAGCTTGTCTCTTTCACCAAGTTGGTCTAATATATTACCTTGTCTTAAAGCAAAGTATTTAGAACAAAAGCCTTTCACAAAAATAGGTCTTAAAAACAGACTATAAGTACATCTGTTTTACCAGGTGTTAATCCATCTTCCACATGGAGATGTAGGTAGGTCTAAGCCCCTATAGGCACTCCAAAATCCTCTAGGGGCTTGGTGGCAAACTCACAACCCACTGCACTCCCCTCTGATTTAGAGGTAGGATCTCCCACTATCTAGATCCATTGTGTTGCTTTCCTACCTGTTTTACCAACAGCTCCCTATTAAGCTAGATTAATGCATTGATTTGGGAAAGTCATTATCCAATATATAGTAACTTCACCTCACTGACCGGGTCCCATATAGTGTTCATAAGATTACTACAGCAGATCAATATTCTTGGTAGCAGCTCCACATCCACAATGAAAATATTAGCAGTGAAAAGTTAGATTTGCTTAATAATCTTACCCTTCACTCCCATGGTCACTTAAGTGATCTGTAATGGACCACATACAATTTCCATTTCTGTAAGAGTTACCCCTTTGACCTAAGTGGTTAGCCAAAGCTTAGAGCCCTGTGGCTTGTTTCAGTTATGAGGAGATCATGCTCTCATTGTTCCTTCTCCCCAATATCTTCTCAGATAGTCCTTATGTTAACACTGTCTCTCCCTCTCCCCCCATAAGCACTAGCACTTGTGTCCAATATAAAAAGGGCTTCAAAATACAGTTAAGCTAAACCAGGAGCAGTCACAAGGGTCTTTTTGAACTCTAAGTCACATTCTGTAGAGGATTCACACGGATTTCCTTTTCCCCTTACAGTTTCCTTCTATAATCAGCATTTACTAGTTCCACTGGTTCACTTTTTGCAACCATAGTTCCACTTTTTACTATTTGCTGCTTGTCAGAAACATTCAGCAAATAAACATTCCCTGTTCTTGCTTCAGATCCTTAAAAGCTTTAGAGTGGGGCTCACAAGGAGGACTTGGGTGCGTAACTGCCAATTTATATGCCCCTGGCATTCACAACACCCCTGCTCAGCTGCCACCTAACCCTGCAGGCACCTGATATCCCTATGTTTCTCTTCTAAAGCGCCTAAATTTCAGCAGCTGGCATGTGCACACTGAAGTCTTGCCTAAATCCTGACAACACTAAGCACTTCTTCACCCAATTCACATCTAAGTCCCAGGGGGATTCACAATCTACATATTCCCCTGGCTATCACTACATCCAATAGGTGTTGTTTAAGCACTGGCCCAGAGAGAGGGAATATGACTATCTCCCACCACTTACAGCACTCACCTGGGCGGTGAGAGACCCAGGTTCCAGTGCTCCTGTTCCAATGCAGCACCTCAGTCCCCGTCTTGTGAATCCCAGCTTCAACAGCTACGATTCCCCTCCGAGACCTGGGGTATCAAAATAGATTTTGCCTAAAAGTCATTTGTATCACCTGGGACATATTTTTAAAGGAAATTTCCACAGACTGAATTTGTAAGACATAATTCTTGGCATTTATTACAGATATTAGCCATAATGAAATCCACACAAATTAGTAGCTCATCCATAGAGTGTAAGGCCAGAGGGGACCACCAGCACCAGCCAGCATGTAAACCCCGACAACTGAAACTGGACCAAAATATTACAACTCTCATGTGCCAGAAGCAGAGAATAGAAGGTTCCCAAAGCCTGAGGTCCCTGCAATGGCAGGGAATTGATTAAGCAAGATCTACCAACATGATCCTGGCAGGCAACCCATGGCCCCATGCTGCAGAGGAAAGCAAAACCCAACAAAGGTTGTTGTCATTCTGACCTGAGGGAAAATTTCTTCTTGACCCCAACGTACATAGGCTTGGAAGAATTCAAATTATTTTTAATAATTTTGATACTATGATGTTTATTTTAAGCATTTTTTCAATTTTTATCAATTTAAAATTAATATGCAAAATTATGGGTTTTACGTTTTTTATTTCTAATCTATTTAAATTATCAAAGTTGTGGGACATTATGGGTGTGTGTCTCAGACAATGACATGTTGAGATACGAAAGGTTAAAACTTTATAACCATTAACACAGAATTGTCAACATCACACAAAGTAAAAATCCTTAAATCAAACTCTAGTAACTTCTCAAGCAGCACTTTTCTTACTTTACCCATCTGTAAATTTCAGTGATCATCAATGGAAATACTTTTTCTTGGGCTGTGTGCATATGGTGAAATTTTTGTTTACTGACCTTTGCCAATAAACATTTAATTCTTCCAAGCCTACACATTTGGCAATCTGAGCACGTGAGCAAAAACCAGTCAGCCAAGCACTTGAGACACATAATTCTCAGTACCACCTCCGAGTACTAGCCTACCCCATCCACTGTCTCTAGTACCTAGACCTTTTGCTTGAATTCCAAAACTCCTATTTTCAAACCCAGTTTTTGGAAAGATGCATATTCCCCAGTCAATTTCTCCAATTGAGACCAATTAGGTAGTTTATTTTGAGATCCCCTATGCCCTAATCTTGGTATAATAGCTATTATGTTTGAGCCAGTCTCCCTTATTCCCATTCATTTCACAGAGCGGATTATGCATTCAACATCAAGACTCTCATTAGTGTTGTTTAACTGCCACATCTAAACAAAAATTGTGGGGCTGAGCTTTGTAGTTCCAAGATTTGCCCTTTCAGCTTGGTGTTCCCCCTTTTCCTGTCAGGTTTTCATTATACACTTGCGATGTTCTGTACTGGCCAGCCTTATATTTAAAACAGTCCTTTCTATAGCCAACTAGGCGTATCTTGGCTTTGGGACTCTGTCCTCTCCTAGTTCTCTTCATAGAATATTAGGGTTGGAAGAGACCTCAGGAGGTCATCTAGTCCAATCCCCTGCTCAAAGCAGGACCAACACCAAGTAAATCATCCCAGCCAAGGCTTTGTCAAGCCGGGCCTTAAAAACCTCTAAGGATGGAGATTCCACCACCTCCCTAGGTAACCCATTCCAGTGCTTCACCACCCTCCTAGTGAAATAGTTTTTCCTGATATCCAACCTAGACCTCCCACACTGCAACTGGAGACCATTGCTCCTTGTTCTGTCATCTGCCACCACTGAAAACAGCCTAGCTCCATCCTCTTTGGAACCCCCTGTTCAGGTAGTTGAAGGCTGCTAACAAATCCCCTCTCACTCTTGATAGCAGCCTTCCTAATTGCTCCTTCAAGGTGTCCTTCAGAAGATTTTCCTCACCCCACTCCTTTGTGGAGGTTTCTCAGGGCTCTCTTTTTGGTCCTCTTCTCTTCTCCCTCTACATCTTACCTCTGGGTATTCTCATCCACAAAACACAAAATTCAACTACCATCTCCATGAGGATGATTCACAGATGAACCTCTCTTCTCCAGACCTGTCTCCTTCTGTCCAAACTAAAATCTCAGCCTGTCTTTCTGAGATCTCCTCAACATGGCTAAAAGAGAGCTCAAACTTGCTCCCAAACCCTCTTCATTACCTCCCTTCTTGATCACTGTGGACACCCCCATTATCCTGCCTGTCACTCTAGTTCATAACCTGGGCATTATCTTCGACACAGACCTTTCCTTAAGGCCTCACATCCAGGCTATGTCTGCAGATTCTTTCTGCACCACATCTCTAGAGTTGCGGCCTTTTTTATCCATCCAAACTCTTGTCCCAGCTCTCATCATCTCACATCCTGATATCTTTCTCTCTGGTCTTGACAAATGCAGTCTTGCCCTGCTCATATCCATTCAGAATGCTGCTGCAAAGATCATTCTACTAGCCCGCGATTATGGCCATATCATCCCTTTCATTGCATCCTCCACTGTGCCCCATTTTCTGTCACAAACGAAGCTGCTTGTATTCACTTTCAAGGCCCTTTACAGAACCCTGCGTACCATTTCTCATTCAATCAAATTGTCTACTCCCACAAATGATACTAGCCTCCATTGGCCACTTGTTAAATTTTCAAACAAATACTTCCAAGCTTTCTCTAATGCTGCCCCTCACGCTCAGGAGGAACTCCCCATAAACATCTGCAAAGCCAGCTCATTATCCTTCTTCAAATCCCTCCTTAAACTCACCTTGGTGTGATGCCCACAAAAAGTTTGACAATGGTTTGGCTGCCCCGGTGCGGATACCATTGCCTTGCTGACCAATATTGTTGGATTGTTTCTTTGCACTCCATCTGTCTGTATCCATCTGCTGTTGCTTGTTGTACAGTTCGATTGTTGGGGCAGGACCCTGTTTTTGTTCTATGTTTGTACAGCACCTAGCACAGTGGGATCCTAGTCCATGACTGGGGCTCCTAGGTGATACAATAATACAAATAATAATTTTCATAAAGTGGTTAAAAGGACACCATGAACTTTTAAACCATGCCTCTGTGTGAAACTGTGTTACCTCCAGTTATTACAAGCTACACTGAAGATTACTTTAGCTGAAAGAGATTAGAAGTGGGAATATATTTTTTCTTTTTTTGTCAGTTTACTTTGTGTATTGCAATGTTTATTCTCACCTCGTATGTCACTTTCCCCTGTTCGTGTGGGTCTTTCACATAGCAACAAGGGAGAAGATTTTTGTTTTGTTTTTTTAAATAGGAAAATCACAAAAGTTAGCAGGGAATTAGAGAACAGGTGTTATGTCTGAAAGTACTTGTAACTCATTAAAAAAAAAAAGAGTAGATGTCAAAGTTGACAGTGTCCTTTTAATGTACAGTAAGCAGTTGCTGATGTTAATACAAAATTTCCTAACACGGAATATTTCAAAATGCCATGTTCTACAGCAGATGACAATTATTATAAATAATGTGACTATATAAAGTCTTGTCTTGAATGTGCTCATCTGTGACTGGTTCCAATGAAGCCAACTGAAGTTTTTTTATTGATTTCACTGGTACAGAATATCAGTTATTATTATTATTTCCTGAGCACCTATTGTCTTGAGTCCTGATTCTGAGATGCAACCAAGCTCAATTGGCTGCAGCATATGGGGGAAAAAGGGGAATTTATGCTACATTCTAAATTATAGGCAGGGGCGGCTCCAGGCACCAGCACACCAAGCGCGTGACTGGGGCAGCAAGCTGCGAAGGGCGGCCTGCCGGTCACTGTGAGGTCGGCAGTCAGGCTGCCTTCAGCGGCATGCCTGCGGGAGGTCTGCCAGTCCTGCGGTTTTGGCAGTGGGTACTCCGAAGGCGCGGGACCGGCGGACCTCCCACAGGCATGCCGCCGGATCCGCGTTACCAGGGGACCTCCCGCAGGCATGCCACCGAAAGCCATCTCACTGCCGTGCTTGGGGTGGCAAAATACATAGACCCGCCCCTGCTTATAGGGCTGCTAGCATAAACCTCTGACACAAACTAGCCTTGCCTTTAATTTACAGTTGTCTGCAACGCTCCCAAAGTTGCCATCTGAAAGTCTGGAATAGCTGCAGTGCGGCATATTCCACACACCACCTTTCACTCATCGCTTGGGCACACCCCTGTTTGAGGGCTGTGTGGGAGGGCAGCTCAAGGTCATTCCTTACAGGGGAAGGGGGCTTCCACAGTGGAGAGATCTAGCTGGTGTCCTGCCCTTTTTGCTGTTAGAGCAGTGTAAAGGGGGGCCAGAAGGCTGCTCAGATTCAGGTCTTGGTATGCAGGCTATTGCCTTCAGGTCAGGTCCTTACAGTTTTGTACGTACTGGCTGTTTTGAGCTTTTTGAAGTCTTAGAGATAAACTGCTCTGAGGGACTAATTAAATTCTTTGTCCTCAACTGCATATTTTAAAGTTAAGGGCCCAATCTCCCACCTGGACTCAGCCCAATAATAAGCACTGTGCCCGATAGTGTTTTCAGGACCCTGCCCTAAGAATAACAA